AATACTCTGGTATCACAGCACACAGCTCTCAGGATCGCGCTGTTTCCTGACACGGGCGCTCCAGACCCGTCGCCATTTTTTCCTCAGTGGTAGTTATTTTTCAGGTACTAAACCCAGTACTCCCTTGAGGGTTTCTTGTAAGGGTGGTTGTGTGGGTAGAGTATTCTTGGCTGGCAATTTCTGTCTTTTAGTATTCTGAATATATCATCCTATTCCTTTTTGGTTTTTAGGGTTTGCGATGAAAAGTCTGATGTTAGTCTGATTGGGGCTCCCTTATAGGTGACTTGATGCTTCTCTCTTGCAGCTTTGAAGATTCTCTCTTTGTCCTTGAATTTTGCCAATTTGACTATATCATGTCTTGGAGAAGACCTTTTTGGATTGAATACAGTTGGGGATCTTTGAGTTTCCTGAATCTGAAGATCAGTGTCTTTTCCTATACCTGGGAAGTTTTCTGCCACTACTTTATTGAATATGTGTTCAATGCAATTTCCTTTTTCCTCCCCTTCTGGAATACCCATGACTCAGATATTTGAGTGCTTAAGATTGTCTGATATTTCTCTTAAATTTTTTTCAATTTTTCTCTTAGATTTTCTTCAATGTTTTTAATTCTCTTTTCTTTTCTTTTTTTTTTTTTTTTGGTCTGCCTGTGTTATTTCAACCAGCCCATCTTCAAGGTCAGAAGTTCTCTCTCCTGCTTCTGCAAGCCTGCTGGTTAAACTTTCTTTTGTGTTTTTTATTTCATTGAATGAATTTTTCAGCTCAGCAAGCTCTGCTTTTCCTCGTTTCATGGTGTTGTCTAGCTGAGTTTTCTCGTATCTCAGTTTCCTTAGAATTATCACTCGAAATTCCTTGTCAGACATTTCAAGGGGTTCTGTTGAATGAATTTTTCAGCTCAGCAAGCTCTGCTTTTCCTCGTTTCATGGTGTTGTCTAGCTGAGTTTTCGCGTATCTCAGTTTCCTTAGAATTATCACTCGAAATTCCTTGTCAGACATTTCAAGGGGTTCTTGTTCTATAGGATCTAGAACTTGAGAGTTATTCCCCTTTGGTGGTGTACTTTCTTGATTCATATTTCTGGTATCTTTCCTTTGATGTTTAGTCATTGTGGCAAGGGACTTCATGGTCCACTGGTTCAACATTATTGTCTGGCTAGGATCCTGCCAAGCCTGCCAATTTGGCACGGCTGTCCCAGTGCCTGCTCGGTCACCTGCTGGTGCCTCAGCCACGTGGTCACTGTGGGTCTCAGGCCTCCCCGGGAAGTGCCTCTCTCGTTAGTGTGCATTCAGCTGGGCTGGGGATGGGGTTTGGCAGCAGCGAGGCCTACCTGCTTGGTCATGCACTGGCGCCGTAGTGCACATGATCTCTGCGGGTCTCGGTCCTCTCCAGGGGGACACCTCTCTGGTCAGTGTGCTCTCAGCCAGGGCAAGGATGGGGTCTGGCGGTGGCGAGGCCTACCTGCTCAGTCGTGTGCTGGCGCTGTGTGGCACGTGGTCTCTGCTGGTCTCGTGCCTCTCCAGGGGGGCGCCTCCCTGGTTGGCATGCAGTCAGCCAGGCTAAGGCGCTGGGCAGGCTATGGGACGGCAAGACGCAGATGTAGGGAAAGAAATACAGATGTCGAACACCACCTGGAGGGTTCGCAGGCACGTCCAGCACTCAGGCACCGAGGGGAGGGAGAGAGAGAGAGTATTAATTTTAAATTATTAGGAGAATCAATAGATTATGTTGCAGATATATTATGATGAATTCATGAAATATTATGCCACTTATTAAAATATTTATAGAAGACTTTACAATATGGGAGGATGCATATTTTTCAATAATACACATTAAAAAGCAGATTATAATATTGTATTAGCAACATGATATATCTATTTGTCCATTTTTAATGGAAAATAAAAATTCTCGAAAATACAGTACAGCATTTTCTTTTTTTATTGATTCTGCATTTTCATGAGTAACAAAGCTGACCCTCACCACCTATGCCCAAGATGTGATGATCAGATCAATGCTATCAGCATGCCTATTACCACAAATTGCAATTATTCCCTGTCTCCAACCCAATTACTTCGTTACCTCCCCCCCAAACCCTGCCAAAGCAACCCTAAGCATGCTCTCTCCCTCTGCAAGTCCAATGCACCACTGTAGTCTTTCTTTTCTTCTTTCTCTCTTAGCTCCCACTTATGAGTGAGGACATGCAGTATTTTTCCCTCTGTAGCACAGCATTTTTTATAAGATTTGATGTATCTTTTCTAAAACTCTTGGTATATTTCTACATTGTTCAATTTTTTCTATTAAATAAATTATTTTATATCAGAAAAGTAAATGTTTTTTAAAATACTGTTAGACATTTAGAAGTAAAAACATTTGTGTTTTTGATACTTTGAAGTATATTTCCTTTTTAAATTAGGGAATAATTAACAAGCTCTATTCTTAGAGAGTAATTAATTTTTTTTCTTTCTAAAGTAATTATCCCCTTAGTTTTACTGTATTTGATGAACTTTGTTTTTGATGAATTTGTTCAAAAAATTAAGATTGAAGTTTTCTGGTTTCGAAGGAGATTTGTAATATCAGTAGATAATTATTCTCTCAATGTTTTAGGTAGATAGATGTGGGATTTTTTGTAGTTTTCACCTTGAGATGTGTTTGTTATAAATAATACTTTCTGTTTATAATTATACAAAATAAGTGTTTTCAAGCTTTTCTGATTCTATAAAATTTTTTTCTCCTAGGCTTATATCATTTTAAATTAAAGCAGTTAATCACTCTTTTAAATTGTACCTTCCTATGCTTTTTTTGGTAGTTGTTTTAAAGCATGAAATATCTGTAATTTAATGTTAAAATTAAAGTTGAATTTAAGGCTTTTGGAATTATGGTCAATCTTATGTAAGGATGTGCTGTCAAATAAAGCTTCTCGTAGTCTTGATTTTATAACCAGCCACCATTTTATTCTACACTGTTTATTAACTGGAACTAGTAAGAAGTCAAATGAGTTTTGTGAAACTCACTGAAGAAAATAACAAATAATTCTATAAGATTTAATATACCACTTTCATTTGATTGACGGGATGAAACTATCATATTAAAAAAATATTTTTGAATGGCTTGTATTATCATTTAATAGGTATAACATCAGAATTTTACTTTTTTTGTGTGTGTGGCTTGCCAATATGAGGATCTGAACCTTTGACCTTGATGTTATCAATACCATGCTGTAACCAAACAAGCTAATCGGCCAGTCTTGAATTTTACCTTTTTGAAAAATTAAAATCTCTCTAAGACAAAGTGACTTATGCTTGAATTAATTATGGTCAATTGAATGCATCTGAAATTGTTATGTAATCTTTATTCTTTATACTTTAACACAGTATTTAATAGTGATTAATCACTTGTAATTTTTAATTTGAAGTCTACTTGTAATTTTTAATTGAAGTCTACTTAAAAATTATTTTATGTAAAAAAAATGTATTTAATGAGCTCAAAACAGTAATTACTGTTACTAAAATGAATTTAGGTTATTATTATGTTAATTGTTTGTTCCAAAGGTTGCACAGTGAATTGAAAGATGCTGATGAAAAGCCATTGGAGGCCCTTCCCTTTGGCACAGAGATAGGAAATGATATATATACAGATGATGAAACAGTCAGGAACCTTCAAAAACAATTGCAACTAGCAAATCAAGTGAGTGACATATGTTTTTTCAAAAAATTATATCCTGAATTAACCACTTTTAAAAATCTGTGTTAATCGTTAATCATTATTTATGAATAACAGAATAACAAAATTGTTGACATTTCGATGATTTTTTTTACAATTTACAAGCTTGTAACGGGAAGCAAAACCTGTAATAAATGCCCACTGTTGTTATAAATATGATTGTCAAATATATATTTTAATTGAATTATAAAGATTTGACATGATTTTTTTTTGTCCTGTAAGATTTTAATGTCAAAGGAAATTTTTAAAGAAAAAAAATCACCTCACTTCTCTAAATTTACATTTTTCAAAGTTATACTTCTAGAATTATACTTTCTCCCCTTTTTTCTTTTCTCATAGTAATTGAAATCTTTGGGAAGCTATGTATCCTGTTGTTCAACACTTTAATTTTTTGGAATTTATACACAAGGGAATTTTATTTTCATTTACAATTTTATATCCCAAGTGTCTCATATCTTGCACGGATTTGGATCTCCATTCTTCTACTGTCTAGCTATATGATCATAGAAAATCTCTTTGTGACTCAGTTTTTTTAATTTATAAAAGGGAATTAGAAATTCTGGATTACAATTTTGATTTTATAATTATCTGTGAGAAGTCATAGTTTTATTTTTTAAAAGTTTGGTTTTAGAATTCTTATGAAAGTGATATTTTTAGGTAAATCAAAAAGGCTATATTTAGCTATGTAGGGAACATGTATTTAACACTGAATCACTGAATTTTAAAAAAGGTAACTGGAAGAGTTTTAAAAAGTAATGGAGGAAATAAATGATGAGGAAAGCATGTCTTTGTTCTAGACTGGCAAGGATTTATAATTGTTTATATTGAAGTAAATGGAAATTTATTTAGACTTATAAATACTTTTTTAACCAGATATTAAATATGAGGATACTTCAAAAAGTTCATGAAAAGTAGAATTAATAGATAATACAAATATTTCCATGTAATTTTTTAGGTATCTTCATGTGTCTTTCAAAAGCCATGGTGCAATGTGCACTCTTTAACCATTCTGAAATGTTAAAAAATCCATAAAACAATAATCTCAAGTGTTACTTCTGCTTATTACTTACACTCGTGCATACATGTTATGTATTAATTCATTTTTACAGTTCTGATAAAACATTTACAATTGTATAATTACTCATCACTAGATTGGAAGACCTTTGTGTCATGCATGAAAACTAGATGAAACCAAACTGAGCAGATAAAAACTAAATACTATTTAAAGTAGAAAATTGAGAGAAAAAGAATTCTGTTACGTTATGCTTTATCAAAGTAATAAGCATACAGTGTTTAACTGACTATTCAAATAACTTCATCCTTTCCACAAATATTTATTAGGTGCTTATTACATGCCAGACAATGTGCTCAGTATTGAGGCTACAGTGGACAATGTTGGTTCTTGCTTTCATTGAACATACAGGCTTTTGGAAGAAGTATAGCAAGGGTGATGAAGTCTTGGGTTCATTCTGCTCAAACTTCTTGAGTTTGGTCTCCATTTTTCTTTCTACCTCTGTGATCTTGGTAAACTTCTTTGTGCTTCACCTTCCTCATTTATATATGGGGATTATAATAATTCTTATCTTATGGAGTTGTTATGGTAATTAAATGAAAAATCCCCATAAAGCACTTAGTGTAATGCTTAGCACATATGTAAGTTAATAAATTTACCTATTATATTTATTTTTTTATTTTTTACTGTTAGTAAGTTTTATTGAGTTATACTTTATATCCAACAAAGATCATCTATTTTAAGTGTACGGTTTTATGAGTTTTGACAAAAGTATACAGTCATGCAGCTGCCACCACAATCAAGAGATAGAACATTTCCTTCACCCTCATGCTTTCTTTCAGTCAATCTTCGCACTCCTGGTGTCAGACAACCTCTGATCTGCTTTTTATCAATGTAGTTTTGGCTTTTCTATCTTTTTATATGGAATCGTGCCATACAAAATCACTCAGTATGTAGTCTTTAGTATCTCACTTGTCGGGCCCGCCGCCAGCCGACCCAAACAGCCCTAGCCTCGTTCCTTTTGGTGGGCGAGCGAATGGCCCGGATTACTCTTTCCCTCCGTTCCCCTTTGGAAGGAGACGGGGGAAGAGAGCCGTAAAGAGAGGTGAGCACAGCTGCTGGCCCCAACCAGCCCAGTTTAAAGGACACTCAGATGCAGCGGGGGTTCTGTCGAGCAGTTCCATTTATTATCACACAAGCACTTGCTTTTAAAGGCAAATGGGGAAGGGAGTTTTACATCCTCCAATCAGCTTAAAGGTTACAAGAGCATGCATCCTGTCTCAATGCCTAGCTATTGCAATCACGCAGTGTTCATGAACGCAGAAGCGCGTAAGGGCTAAGGCAAGGTTCCCGCAGACACTCCCACCCTACTTCCTCCCGGCACCGTCGTAGGCTGCCACATTAATATGCCCTTGTGGGCCCATAATGGCGCCACTTGTAATGTCACTTAAGATGGTGTTAGTTTCTAAGGCCCGACATCACTTATTTTGGTCTTTGAAAAATACTCTTAAGCAAATGAAATGACATGCCACAGGTTGGAAGAAAAATATTTCCAAAATATATATCTGAAAGGACCTGTATCCAGATTATATAAAGTCTTACATGTAATAAAAAGACAAATAACCTAATTTTTTTTTTTTAACATTCCTTAGTAAATTTTATTGCAGTCTGGCTGCAGGTGTGTGACTGTTGACATGTGTTAACTATTATACTCTCTTCCCCAGTCTTACGTTTCTCAGTGCTTACACTTGAATAGCAGTGTGGAGTAGTATCATACAAGAGCAATCATAGTAACAATCTACATTATTTAAGTGCATGCTGTGTTCCAGGCACTGTGATAAGCCATTCATAGGCATTTATCTTATTTAATTCTCACAACATTCTTAGACAACAGGTACTATTATTTCCCTCCATTTACTGCTGAGGAAACTGAAGTTCAGAGAGATTTAGTGAATTTCCCAAGGCCACGTGGCATGTGGGCTGATACCTTATTAATTACAGACAATTAATGTATTTATAAGAAAGTAATTTTGAAAATTACATATACTATGGAACCAGCTTTTCTATCCTCAAATACCATTTAGAATCAATACAACTCATTTTGTAACCTTTTTTCTCCCATAATGTTAAACTTCATTTCTGTCTCCATTTAACAAAAATGTACCTGTCATCACGGGGAATTTACCTATTATTTTTATCATCATCTTTATCATCACTACTGAACAGCAAAGCAGACAAAAAAGAATTAAAATTACATGCAAAGGTGCTTTGTAGAGCAAATATATTGCTTTAGGAGCCAATAGCAATAGTATAATATTAAGTAACTAATTTGATATTTTTAATTTGGAATATCTTGTGCTACAGTAGTGTGATTTGTAAAATTTTTCTGGAAGGCCCTTTGGCAATAAGAGCCTTATATATGTTCATATCCCTTGACCAAATAATTAGATGATGACACTACATAGATTGTAGAAATTTCTTCTAAGGAACTGTATGTAAAAGTCTATGAGTAAATATGTTCTTTATAATATTACTTATGATAACTAAAAATTGGAATAGTTTAAAAATCTAAAAATGTGGAATTAGTTAAATTGTACTGTGTCCAAATGGTAAGTTCTACCATTTTAAAAAGTAATGTATTAGTACAGTGATTTTCAAATTTCCTAATCACCTGAGGGCTTCTTGAGACACAGTTTGCTGCCACTCCCTCCTTCTGGCAGTTCTGAGGTGATGCTGACAATGCTGGTCCTTTGATAACCACTGCTGTAGGAGAATCTGGGTTTTGTAACTACTCCTCCAGGTGATTCTTGTCATCATAAAGGTTTGGGAAACAGTGGGACCCTTGAGATTATTGTTTTATGGATTTTTTAACATTTCAGAATGGTTAAAGAGTGCACATTGCACCATGGCTTTTGAAAGACACATGAAGATACCTAAAAAATTTCATGGAAATATTTGTATTATGGCATTTTTATGACCGTTCTACTGAAAAGAAAACTGAGTCTTAAGAAAATAGATTGTCCAGGATCATTCAGCCAAGAATTAGAGATCCAACCCAAGCCTTCTGGCTCCAGATTCTGTTTGTCTACAAATTTTAAAACTATGTAGGTTTTAGGAAAAACAAATGTCTGTGTTAGAAGACGGGATAATGGTTATTTGGGGAGGGGGGGTTGTAGTAAATGGACAAAGTCACAAGTGGAACGTTTGGCTTCTAGGTGATGGTAATAATCTCTTGAACTGAGTGCTGGTCACATGAGTACATTGACTTTGTAAACGTTCTCGATTTGAGTCTCTGAATGCATGTTATATGTCAGTAATAGTTTCATAAAAACATAAACTTATGTTTATTTTAAATGTATATTCATTGTGTTCAAAAAATGCAGATAGTGTACCTTCTTACTAAAACTGAGGGAGTAAATTAGCTCTGACCTGATTTAAAAGCTTAGGCTTTAGAGAGAGAGAGACGAAGGTTTCTTCCTGACTCTTGTCAACAACTTGCTGAGGGACCCTGGACAAGTTGCCTGAACCTTAGTCTCTACTTTCTAAAAAGGCAGTAATGGTCTCTACCTCTAGGTCAGCATTTCTCAACCTTCTTGATTTGAAGACCCCTCATCCAGGACACTTAAAAATTATTTAGGATCCCAAAGAGCTTTTTGTTTTTATGGGCAATATATCTATCAACATTTATTGTATTGGAAATTAAAACTGATACTTTTTAAAAAAACAAATGGGAGCATAAGCACTTATTCCATTAGCCCTCAGAGCAATGATGACATTACATCATATAAACTTTAGAAAACTCCACTGTACACTTATGAGAGGATAAGAGTAAAAAAGGCAAATAATGTCTCCATATTGTTATGAATATAATTTTGGCTTCAAGGTCTTCTGAAACAGCCTTGGGAACCCATACCACACTTCGATTATGCTTTATTGAAAGAATAGTTAATGACCTAATAAAATTTTCATTATAAAATGCCAAGTGAACATAGTACAATACATATAGTATATGATTCCTAATTTTGTTAAAAGAAAAAAATTCCAAAATTCTCCCATAGAGTCACATTCATAAACATTAATACATTCAACACGTATAAAGATGATTCTATCTAGAAGTTAGCAATACTTATTAGGTGGTAAAAATCCTCTATATTTCTGTATTTTCCTAATCTTCTGCAATGAAAATTTATTACTTTTACAATCAGAAGAAATATACTGTACTGTGCCAGTTTTTTGTTTTATTTTGTTTTCACTAATTTCTAAGGCTTACACTTCATCATGGAACAAGGAGAGTGGTGTAAATCTATATCTCTATTAATGCTTTTAATTATAGCTAAATCTAATTTAAAAGACAATTTCAAAATATGGAATTTTTTGTGTTTAGGTTTATTCTCTAAATTATTACTGCTACAATTTCGTATCATCATAAATGTTACAACTATAATACCATCTTTACACAAGTTCTATTTTTATTTTGTGACTGTAAGAACTTATTTTATATGGTATGATCCACTTTTACTATGCAATAAGTAGCCTGATAATAATTTAATGAGTTATCAAATATTTTTATTTTACAGGAAAAAGTTCAGGCTGTGGAACTCTGGCAGACTGTTTCTCAGGAATTGGACAGACTGCAGAAACTTTACCAGGAACATATGACTGAGGCCCAGATTCATGTGTTTGAAAGTCAAAAACAAAAGGTAATCTTGGATTTCATGGTTTTCTCATATATCGAAAAGAAATTGCATTCTGAAGAAACTTTTAGAAAGGAACGCTTAAGCCTCTACTGTGTTGTTTATGTTAACAACAAATAGATATTTGATGGTTAGAAATCACTTGAATGGGTAAGATAATTAAAACACCATCCAGTGTACATTCAGTTCTATAATGTGATAAGCAACAAAAGCTATGTTCAGTTCTTAGAAGCAGCTATAAGGTTATTTTGTATAATTGGACCTCCAGAACTTTTATTTGCTTGATTTCCTAACTGGCTTAAAACAAAACAAAATGAAACAAAACTGTTCATTAGGTTATGGCCAGTGAAGAAACCTGCTCAAATACAGTGACAACACTATATAAAATGAAAATGTTAGCACCCTTCAATGTGACCCATTACTAAAATAGATATCAAATTTATCTATCATAAATTAATCAAAATAGAATTTTATAATAGGAAGGGATTTTAATGGCTATTGAAGACGTCTTTCTATCCAAAGCAAGAATCATTTTACATTCTTTCAAAGTGTACATCTAGCTTTTACTTTACTCCACTATTGACAGGAACTCACTATCTCACAAGACCATCTATTCTGTTGGGAAATCTGCCTCCTTTATTCCTCCATTTGTTCTTTCACTGCTAGGTGCATGGAGCACTATGGAGAAATTCCAATTTTGACCCCTTTTGTGTGTATTTTGACTTATGGCTGTTTAAATAAGTTGGTTATCATACTTTTCTTCACCTCTCATTTATAGACTTTTCAAATAACAGTTTATGAATGTTATTATCATTATAATTAGGAATTTCTACCTAAAGAATTCATAATGATATTTATATGATGCTTTACAGTTTACAAAATGATTTTTCTGTACATGCCCTGGTTTGAAAACAATCCACATGTAATATGATCAATAGGGACTTTTATCTCTGAGATCTAGAAATCATTTTTAATATAAGTCCTTTAGGGCTATTGCCTCATTTAGGTCAATCAACTAATCCCATGAGGGTTTTTTTTTTTTCCCCACTTGAAGATCATTCTTATACTGTAGCTATGCAGTTAAATATTTTTGTACAAGACTTTACAAATCACACTTCATTTTTATTTCTCCCATTATCTATTAATCTTTAATTTTGTCATCATATTAATAGCCTCGTGTCATCTGTGCAAATAATGTTCAATAGGATCATAGCAGCTAATTGAACAATTTTCAACTTGTATGGCATGAGAATTTCAGAAAAGGGGGTGAGAAATAACTCCTGTGCCATAGTTTGTCTTGTAGGTTTTGAGTAGGTTTGAATGTGCTTTTCCAGTATTGAACAAAGCCTGTCTAGCATTTGGAATTTCTGATCACTTACCATTTTTGATAATATACTTCTTTGAGTTTTAAAATAGTATTTACTAATGGATTGATTTGTAGAAGTAATGATTTCACATAAAACATAAATAGCTATATTTGTTTCAACATTGCTACCTTACTTAATTTTTAATCATTTAAAAATTTTTTATCTTATTTCTTCAACTATTAATTCACACAATAATAGAAGAAATACTACTGACATCATCTAACTCAGGCATAATGATTTTAGACTTGACTTTATTTTGATTTGCGATATGGGTTGCAAACCAAATGCTATTTATGTACTCTCCCTATCTTCCCACTGTAGGATCAGCTGACCAGTTGTCAACAACTAACCAAGCAACTTCATGTTACTAATGAGAATGTGGAAATGGTAGGTGAAAATAACCGTTCAGTGTACTGTTTATATAAACTAGAAATTGTCACTATGGATAATCATATTTATTTTTGCTGATGCAAATCAAGAACAATAACCAAAAAAAAAAAGTTGCATGAAATTAAAAAATTAAAATAGGTAGGCAATACTCATTTCTGTTTTATCTTTTTCTTTCACATAAAATAGCGATGACATAGTTCACAGTACCTTTGATGACCTAACAAACATCTATTTGAAATATAGCCTCATCTGAAAATCTTGTTAGGGTCCTTGATAAGCTCTCCTAAAACTAATCTTTTTTTTTTTTTCTTTTGAAGCTGGTTGGTGGGGGGATCCAAACCCATGAACCTGGTGTTACAAGGCTATGCTCTAACCAACTGAGCTTACCGGCCAGCCCCTAAGAGTAATCTCGACTGTGAACTCTTCAAGAGTATTTCATCTGGCACAACTTCAAGTATATAATAAGAATAGTGAACTGTTTGTTTAGTGAATGAACAGCCTATTTCCTAAAAAAAAAAATTAGGGAAACTAAGAGCCATGTGTTAGTTAATTAACCACTAGCTTTGTTAGTACCAAAGTAATTAGTACCAAAGTACTAACTTTGGTGCAGCTAAATTTTTCTATAATTTTTTCCTAAAACAAATATAATTACCCCTCCCAATTCTACTCTTTACCTTTTTACTTTCTCATTTTTCTTTTGTTTTCTTAATGCTCTTAGAATTTTATTTTTACCTCATTGTTGAGTAATAGGATTATGATGCACCAGGTAATTCTTTTTTCTTTCTTCATTCTCACTTAGTTACTCTGTCAATTCTTGTTAGTACCTAATAAAAATGTCTTTGTTTAGGAGTGGAGTTGTGCCATCAAAAGTAAGTTATCCAATTTTATTCTACTTTAAAAAATGTTCTCCTTAACCAAGTAAACAGTTATTGAACAAATCTCTCCCTAGTCTACTTTTGCTAACTTTTGAATTTCCAATCACAATTTTTGATAATGTACTTTTTAGAGTTTTTAAATACTATTACAAGTGCTATAGAACAGAATGATTACTGATTTCCATAATTAAGAAAGGGTTTTTTTCACTTAATATATCTCTACATGGAATTAATACTTTCAACTAACAACACAATTATTCATTATTTCTTTCAGTTTTCCTCCTAGAATTGTGAGAATTGTATAATCATTTGGTATCTTATACTACAGAACCCATATTTACTATAAACAACCCAAAATAATTTTGATGAAAGAAATTGTGGGAAAAGGTTGTTGGAGCATTCACAGGGAATACATTAAAAATTTCTAATGCAGAAAAATTCATAGTTTCAGGCCAAAGCTAAGAATCATAAACTATGGATACAATAAAAGTGATAAAGAAACGGTAATATAGATAAAAGAGGGTGTTATAAAAAGCAAAGACTATACAAGTGGTTAAAATAAAGGAAAATGGTTAAGAGAAATCTTAAAACTCGAGTCTTTCTTAATTTATATAATGGATATCAAACAAGACTGCTAAGTGTAAAGAGAGAAAGTTCAGCGATTGTAAAGATCTTGTACATTCTCAAAAAGCATTCAGAGCGTAATCACTGGACAAGTTTCAGTCACAATCAAACTTGAAGAAAAGTGCCTTTAAAAACCAAGCAGTTATTATCAAAAAGACAAAAAATAATAAATGCTAGTGAGGATGCAGAGAAGGGGGAACTCTTATACACTTTCTGTGGGAATTTATATTAGTATAGCCATTATGGAATACTGTATGGAGGTTCCTCAGAAAACTAAAAATAGAATTACCATATGAACCAGCAGTCCCACTGCTGGATATTTATCCAAAGGAAAGGAAATTAGCATGCTGAAAATATATCTGCATCCCCATGTTTATTGGAGCACTACTCACAATAGCCAAGATATGGAATCAATCTAGGTGTCCAACAACAGATGAATGGATAAAGAAAATGTGGTATACATACACAATGGAATACTACTCAGCCATGAAAAAGAATGAAATTCTGTCATTTGCGGCAACATGGATGAGCCTGGAAGACATGTTAGGTAAAATAAGTCAGGCACAGAAAGATAAATATCACATGTTCTCAGTCATATGATGTGGGAGCTAAAAAATAAATAAAATAATAAGTTGAACTTTTAGAAGTAGAGAATACAATGGTGGTTACTTGAGCTGGGAAGGGAAAGGGTCGGGGGAATAGTGAGAGGTTGGTTAATGGACGCAAAAATTACAGCTTGACAGGGAAATAAGTTCTAGTGGTATACAGTAGTGCTAGGCATTGATAATTAACAATAATTTATTGTATGTTCTCAAATGGCTAGAAGAGAGGTGCTTAAATGTTCTTATCACAAAGAAATGATAAATTTTTGCAACAATGAATTTGCTAACTATCCTGATTTGATTGCTACCCATTGTATACATGTTTTGAAATATAACTGTAACCTATAAATATGTAAAATCAATACATTTCAATTTTAAAGTAAATTAAACAACTTTTTTAAATTAGTAGGGGGTTCCTATAGATGTACAATAAAATGATGAGTATGCAATGAGTAAATATTTTCCTACATAACTTGAGCAGCATGACAGAGTAGAAAGTCCTGAACCCTCCTTTCCCCCACAGACACGGCAATTCAACAAGTCACAGACACATTTCTTATGTGAGAAATTAGAAACTAATTGAAAGGTTCCCACATCCCAGGAGAATGTGAAACCAGACTCACTAAAGTTAGTAGGGAGATTCAGGACACCCTCTCGCTGTAGACTCTGCCCCTGATGCAGCACCATGTGATCAAAAAGATACCCCCTATCTCCCAGTTTCACCGGGGGGAGAGAAGGGGTTGTTATGCACGTTCAGTGTCCCAAATTTTCTGAAGGGCCTCCTCAGAGGACTGACTTCTGTCTTACCAGTTTTGGAGCTCTGATGGCACAGTCTAGTCAACCCAGAGAAAAATGGAATCATTGGCTTGGGCTGATAAATCCCATTGATCCTACACCCTGCTCAGTACAGAGCAAGTGGATGCAAATCAGCTCTCAAATTCCCCCAGGGAGGGAAAGGGTTGATTCATGCATCCAGCACTTAGACCTCTCTGGGGCTGCTCAGAGAATTAGCATCTGTCTCGATAGTCAGGAAGCTCTGACAGGTCCAGCACAGGCTAAACAGCCAGGGGAGAACAGAAGTGGAGCTTAGACTGGTACATGCCACAACTCCTCACGCCTCTGGCTCAGCACAGAGGAAGCAGACAAAAACTATAGCTACCAGCATCTTCCTGGGGAGGGAAAATGTTGGTAAAGGCCCTCAGTATATCTGGCCACCTGATTGGTAGGGGTCTTTTTTTGTATGAGGTCAGTCCATGAAAACTGAGAGAGGTGCGTGCTCTCTGCAATGCACAGATACCAACACAGAAAGCCACAGGAAAATGAAGAACCAACCAAAGATGTTCCTAACAAAGGAACATGATAAATTTCCAGAAATGAATTCCAATGAAAAGTTATGATTTACCTAATAATTAAAAATAACTCTCATAGATACCAACACAGAAAGCCACAGGAAAATGAAGAACCAACCAAAGATGTTCCTAACAAAGGAACATGATAAGTTTCCAGAAATGAATTCCAATGAAAAGTTATGATTTACCTAATAATTAAAAATAACTCTCATGAAGATGCTCAAAAAGGTCAAGAAAACAATGCATGAAAAAGTGAGAATTTCAACAAAGAGAAAATATTTTTAAAAGTACTGAACAGAAATTATGGAGCTGAAGGACTCAATAATTGAACTAAAAAATTCACTAGACGGGTTCAACAGCAGGCTAGATCAAGAAGAACAAATGATCAGAGAACTCACATCCAATACCCCAATCTTTCTAGCGACATCTAAAGAGCCTTGCTCCTATCATACTGATCTCTGGGTATTGACAAAATTTGGCACATTCTAAGCTTCAGCGGGGTAACACAAAGATTAGAGAGGCACCTTAAAATCTCTGATAGGATAGGTTGATGAAAACCTCCTACAAAAGCCCAATATAATAAGATAGGGAAAGGTAGGTGTCTTAACTAATGTGCAGAAACTAACAAAGAGAATCAAGGGAAATGATGAAGCACAGGAATATATTCCAAACAAAAGAACAAGGTAAATCTTCAGAAACTGATCAGAATGAAGTGAGATTTTGTGATTTACCTGACCAGGAATTCAAAGTAATGGTTGTAGAGATGCTTACAGAGGTCAAGACAGCAATGAAAGAACAAGATGAGAACTTCAACAAAGAGATAGAAAGTATCAAAAAGTATCAAGTGGAAATTATAGATCTTAAGAATGCTATAAGCAAACTGAAAAATTCAATAGAGGAGTTCAACAGCAGACTTGATCAAGCAGAACAAAGAATCGGTGAACCTGAAGGCAGATCACTGGAAATTATCCAATCTAAGAAGCAAAAAGAAAAAAGAATGAAAAAGAGTGAGGAGAGTGAGGATAGCTTAAGAGATGTGTGGGACACCAGCAAACAGAAAACATACCTGTAGGGGCCGGCCCGGTGGCGCACTGGATAGTGCGCCGCTTGGGAAGCGTGGCGGCGCTCCCGCCGAGGGTTCGGATCCCACGTTCGTATAACTTCGTATAATGTATGCTATACGAAGTTATTACGAATTGAGAAAAGCAAGTTACTAAAACAAGACACATCCAAAATGATAAAATTGATAGTTTTTTTTTTAATATTTGAAAAGAAATATTGAATAGCGGTACTTATTTACGAAAAAAAAGAAAACATACCTGTAATTGGTATGCCAGAAGAAGAAGAAAGAGATATAGGGACAGAACACATTCAAAAAAACAATGGCAGAAAGCTTCCCACATTTGGGGAAAAATTAGAAAGCCAGGTACATGAAGCCCATAGGACACCAAATAAGTTGAATGCAGAGCAACCCACAACCATGACACACTGTAGTCAAAATGTCGGAGACAAAGAGAGAATGTTTAAAGCAGCAAGGGATAAGCAAA